TACTCGCAACATAGCCCATGTACACGTACAGCGGTATGCGTAGAGCTGCTCTCCGATCACTCTTGCGAGTCGCGGAAGCGAAGTTCGAACAGCCATGTAAAATGCCCCGCTAGTAAGCGCGTGTCGAAACGAACGAACATCCTGCATACAAGCCTGTCCCAGCTACGCAAGGGGGTGGTTCCCGAACGCCGGCCCATATCGGATGAATTAGCACGCAGTAACCGAAGACTAAGTTGACCACTTCACCAACGGCTCCCTCAGCGACAGATCATGTCGATCTCTCAAACATACTGCGCGGCACACCGTTAGCACACGAGCTCGCTCATGGAATCTACCCTACGCCCCGGAACCCATTCGTGGATTGCCTCGGCAACGCCGATATCATCACAGAGCTCTACGTGAAGCCTCACAGTAGCGTGCAGTGCAATAAGAATGTACCCAGTTATCATACTGTCACACTCTCGTCGCTCGCAGAAGCGTCCTTGCCCCCCGCGCGTCCTTCATGAATACTTCCTTCCCGATCCACCACGCTTACGGTCTCTGACCGAACACCGTCATCCGAGCGCTCGAGCGGCCCACCCATCGACGCCACAAAGTCGCTCGCAAAGACGAGGCCGGATTCGTGTCCACCTGAGCTAGACGCGGCATGCCACGCCCCGGGCCCCTCGATGCCGTCAGTGTGGGCGGAGTCGAGCCCGATGTCTTTCCCGTCGATGTCGCGGAGGTTCATGATAAATCGGGAGACGAGGATGGACGTGAGGCTATATGCGCGTACGCGTGTGTGGCGTGAGGATGCGAGAGTGGTACGACAGGGATAAGTGCGAGAGGAGCTTACACGTCCGCGATGTCGCCCATGAAGGATACTTGCTGTTCACATGCCATGTGTTGGTCACTTTATGGAAATCTCGGAGGCTATAGCACCACTCACCTCGACGAAGTTGATGGCGATGTGCAGGACGTTCAGGACGAGCATCGTTCTGTCGACCCACCGTGTATAAGCGCTCTGGCGTTAGCCTCTCGCCAGCGCTGCCTTCTCGACCTACCCAAAGTAAATCGTACCTGACCAGCCAAGACGTCAGGACAGTGCAATGTGGAGGATGAGTGAGCACCTCGCACCGTCTCGAAGGAGCAATTCCACGAGGGAGGTCTTGATGTGCGCTGCGTCCGCAGCCTTCTTCAGTCGGTAGGTCTTCCACCATGTCACCGCGAGCACGAGCGAGTCCCCAACGATGAGCGATATGCGGGATCCGAGCACAACTAGGAGAGGAGTCAACCCATCGCTTCAATCCTCCACAGCTTGGGACGCGAAGAGCCTACGTCTGTCGAGCAAGAAGCGCGGCACCACTCAGCTACGTACGAGCATACGATATACGGCGACGTACTACGCACTTGGTATGCAGTGCGACGGTTACCGCATTATCGACCTGGCAGTTGTACGGCGGCGGAAGGTTGTCCGGTTTCTGCGTCGGGATGTTGTACGCGTTCGCGACGATCGGGCCCATCATGAGGACGCACACGACGAGCGCCAGGCGCCACTCTCGTCCGCAGAGCGCATATACTCGCAGCGTTGAGAACGCTGAGGAGGGTATGTGCATTAGATAATCGAAGCGGGCGTGCGAAGGGGACGCGCGCGCGTACCGTTCCAGATGAAGTACGGGAGGAGGTTGAGGACTATGTCCATCCACCCGAGTGCCACGCATCTGCCGGACAGCGGTCAGAATGCCAGGCGCACACAGCCTGACCAGGTTCTTGCTCGACACTCACGACTACAGAACACGTTAGGAAGGGGCACTGGACTGACGCATAGAAGGATTTAGACGTACAAGGTCGGGGATAGACCAGTACGATGCGATGGTGATCGCGTTTTGGAAGAGCATGATGTACCGGTTCAGGAAGAAGAGCACGCTCGCGCCCGTCACCTTCCGCCGCCAAATCAACTGCACCTCGCTGTCGAACGTGATGAGGTACTCGGAGAAGATCAGGGCTGCGTTGACGGTCAACCGTGTCAACTTGATTAACTCTGTCGTAGTTGAAATGTCGACGGAAGACAGGTACTCACTGGCTTCCGCGAAGAGCGCGCAATCTTCGATGAAGCTGTAAGTAGAGCGGCGAGCACCCGCAAGTCAGCGACGCTCCCCGGGATGGTACTTGCAAGACATGAAAACTTACAAGAAGGCATGGTTGGAGATGATCGTCTCCGCGCTGGTGATCGATTGCGAGGTGGACATCCCTGCGCGCATCTTCCAGATATCTCGTGCTACCCGTTCGACCTAGTGCCCAGAAACGTTGAGGCTGATATCCGCGCGAGGGCTAGGACGAGACGGCGAAGCGTGAGAGTCATCCGCCGCTATGTCGAGCCTCTAAATACCGCCCACGCCGTCTGCGAGAATGGAGATGGAAGTGGGCAGTGTCGCGCAGCGCGTGGGTGCTGGCAGAGAAGTTGTGCGCGTGTACATTTAACAAGGCACGCCAGGCAGATGAATAGCGTGTGTGGCAGCGAGGCTCAGCCGCGGTGGCAGGGAAGCATGGAGGGCATCACGAACGCGCCCGTGGTCTTCGGACCCACCCCCGGCGAGGCCCGAGAGCAAATCTGCCTGCAACTTGAGGCTTGAGGGCAGAGAGCGACGGGCGGAACTAGCTGAACATTCGCACGGCGTAAGATGGTCAGGACCACGAAGCCCTTCGTGGCGCACATCCGGTGGCCCGTCCACGATAATCAGAACTAGCGTTCTGGAAGAGGCATAGCACTGCTGAAGTCGGAGTTTACGGGATCTGCCTCCGTGCGAAGCGTGCCTGCTCTGCAATCAGCATCGAAGGAATAAGTAGCGCAAAAGATGCTCCAAACGGTACCTGATTGCTAGGAATAGTTTCAGAGCAGGGGCATAGTGGGAGCACTGGATGTTTGAAGGCGTCAAGTAGGGGCCCGAGTGCGCAATGGCTGCGGATGTCGTGCAAGTTCTTGCACAGCACCTAGAGTACCAAAGCAGTGCTCAAAAGATGTACTAGAGATCTGTGGAGGTCGAAGATCTGGGATGAGGAAGACGGGGAGCGCATGAATCATTCGTAGCCTCGATGGCGACATCCGCGGGCGTTGCTAGACGCGGAGGACTCATGTCTGATGGCTGCAGCAGATCTTGGCGCCGTGATCATCCTCATGTCAGGCTGCACGAATGGGAATGACCTTCATTATACAGTCTCGCACGTGCAGCGTTGCGGATGAGGGCTAGGAAGCGGTTACGATGATGGTTAGACATGTTTGATACACGTACGGGTGTCAAAAGCTTGATCACTGAGGTTCAGAGTCATTCAACAATGTGATACTTTCTTCGCAAGGGAACGTCCTCTGTTCGCAGAAGAGATACTACAGTCTGAAGGGAAGTTGGAACCGCATGGCATGAGAAACGATTCATCGGGGACGGGAACTCTGGTGGCGTGTTAAAGTCAAACAGACCAAAAGTTCTTACAAGACGCGTGAGCGGTATCATACCACAAGACCGCGCTCGCCGATGAGGAAGCTTTCACCCGTAGTACCATAGTCGCCGCCGCAGTCAGGAAACGGAGATAGATGTATGTTGCAGAGGTGGCAGCACGTATCTCAACTTCTAGAGTAGCATTGCCTCTCGATTGAAATGAGTGATGACGAGCACGAGAGCGGCCAGCAGGCAGTGGCTGGAAGAATGGCGTCGGCGACAAGCAACGTACATAGAATGAGGCGCCCGCGGTAGTATGCGCGTCTAACCCTAACCTTCCGGTGTAGATCATTTCCCGGCACCCAACACTGACTAAGAGGCTTACATCCTACCACCATCAGAGCACTCGCAGCTGAAGTCAGTTGGGACGTTCACTATATAGACGTCCTACGCACCCTCTGGTGTGTTGCAAACTGTGTCAAGTCTCAACAGTCTCAGTAAGGCATCGCGACTCTCACGCTCTACTTTTAGGCAAGCTCACTGTCCGTGAAGAACCGTGTGTCATCACTAACTGCAGTGCCTCCAACCAACCCCGAATATACAGATTGACCTCGTTCAACTGCTACCGAGCCTCTCTTAGCTGCTCTCTCACTGCCTCCACTCCCGTACGAACCGGATTGAATTACTGACGGAGATGCGCGCATGGTATTTCGACAATCTCCCCGGAGAGCAACACCTCCCGCACGACTCCGGCAAAGCCGTCTCGCTTGAGACGCTCGCTGCGCTTGGCGTTTTGTACTGGCGCATCTCCGTCGACTCCCCCGAGGGATGGGAGAAGCAGATCGACGCGATCGCGGACGAACGACAGTACCGCTCGCGCGACATCGTGACGGCGAGCAGGCGCGTGCTCAGCAAGGAGGAATTTGACGAGAGGATGGCGATGTTCTTCAAGGAGTGAGCGTATACTCCCCCCACTCGCCGCGCGTATCAAGGTCACTCATCGGTCGCGCGTGGCAGGCATATTCATGAGGATGAGGAGATAAGGTACCTCCTCGCGGGCAGCGCCTACTTCGACGTGCGCGGTGAGCATCTCCGACTAACCTTCAAGATGTGACGACGATAACTGATGGGATCGCACACGAAGAACACACCACAGATGCATGGATCCGCTGCCATCTCGAGGCGGGCGACATGATCATCCTCCCTGCCGGTATCTACCACCGTTTCTCCCTCGACGAGAACGAGCGCGCACGGACCCTCCGTCTCTTTAAGGTGACTCCACCGCTCACTTCTTCCTCACCAGTGTCTGACGGGCAATGTGGACAGGATCAGCCGAAGTGGGAGGCACACTATCGTGGGCCCGAGACCGACAAGAACCGGTACCGGGTGGAATACTTGAAGACTTTCTCTGGGAGAGATCCTACGAGTCAGTCTGTGCAAGTGGGTGCGTAGTTGGGCAAGATGATGTGTAGTATGTGTGATATGTATGATGTGTGCGGTTGTATGATATGATAAAGGGCGGCGAGCCAGTATTGTTGTGCATCGCGCTTGCCAATATTGCTGTATACGCAATGAGCTCATGATACCTAAGACACTATGGCCGAGTGGTTAAGGCGACAGATTCGAATCTAAATTCGACTATCTGTTTCGGTCTCCGAGCGCAGGTTCAAATCCTGCTGGTGTCGTCTTTTTTGCATTTTACCTGTCTGTCACGGTTTTCGGACCGTCCCCGCGCCATTACGGCGCCTATTTACGGAAGTTAGACGTAAATCACCATACTTTACCTATTTCCGTACTTAATTGATTATTATTGCCTTTTGTGTCGCTTTTTGCCCCTTTGGGAGAAGTTCTGGATAGTTCTACGGCTGGAATCCCGGCCTGGGCCCCGGTGGAAGGTTCTGGATAATTGTCTGATAATGTAGTGTTTCCCATTGGTCCGTGCCCAGTTGGGCAGAGGGCATGCCCGACTATTACTCAGCCGGTCCCGGCTCGGACTTAGCCGGTCCCGGCTCAGGCGTACCCGGACCCGGCCCCGGCTCAGCTGAGCCCGGTCCCGGATCCGGCTCAGTTGGTCCCGGACCCGGTCATTACTCAGCCGGTCCCATACCGGTCCGGCTGCTAGCTTAGTCACCTAGAGTACCAGGGGTCTCACCCCGGTCCCCGGGGGGACTGACCTACATGTATATAAGCCGGCTACCTGAGGGGGTCCCCCTCAGACTAATCCACTTATTGTCTAAGCCCAACTACCTCTGGCCTAACAAGCCTTTCTTATCCTCATCCTTATCCTCACCTCTATTCCTATCCAGTGAGTATTTCAGTTTGGGTTTACTGTTATATTTGGATTAGTCTTCCCTTATTGCACCAGGCTTGCCAAAGCCTCTTGCATTTATTTTTCGCTTTTATTGGGGGTTGTGTTGGTGTTTATTTCCATATTACCTTTATTATTATTTGTGGGTTCTGGGGGCTTCAGTGCTGTTGCTGTCAAGCATCAGTACTTATTGGGATCTGGGGGCTAAAGTGCTGTTGCTGCCAAGCATCAGTCACTTATAAAGAACACCTTGTTGTATAGCTGGCTTAATTGCTGGTTATATAATTTGGTTGTTTCTTTTATGCCGGACCCTAGGCGTAAGGGGAATCTGTCACCCTATGGGTAACAACCTTGGAATGAACACTTAGGTGTTTCCCATGAGAGTCTTTGACTTGTAGACGGGTAACCAGGGTTGGACAGATCAGAGAAGGGTGTAACACCCTCTCACCTTTTATTTTCCCATTTGCAGTGCGGAGTGGTGCCGTAACTGAGATTCAAGCCCTACACCACTTTCAAGACCCAACCATCTCCCCTTTTTGAAGTTTATGTTTTTGTCCTGATAAGGACCAGCTGACAAGCTGCTAGCTGTTCTCTGCTAGCCATGCCCAGGATCTCACGCGACCGCAAGGTCATTGCCAAGGAGGAACCACTTGGTATTTACCAGTGCATACTCCTTCGGCCTCTGCGTGAGTACAAGGTGCCAAGACTTCGCCGCCAGAGGCTTCACGGCCCACCGGTTGTCGTCACACCACGACCCTTCGATCCGGAGCGTGCGAGGAAGGCTGAAGAAGACATCAAAGCCCTTCGTCAGCGCCACGAAGAGTGGGTCGCCACCCGCAAGGCTGAGCCCCAGTCCTCGCTGCCGCTCATCGATCGGATCTCTGGCCCTTACCAACCCCTCATCGAGCGCCTTCAAAACCCTCCGTCGCTGAACGAGTACAAGTCTCTGCCCCAAAACCTTCGCTTCAGGAAGACCAAGATCATCTACCGCATCAAGGAATACGAGGCCCTTTTCAAGCCTACTGTCGACAGGCTCACTCCATTTGTGGAGAAGGCTATCGCGGATGACCGGATTCCGGAGGAGGCGAAGGAGAAAATCAAGGTGTGGGGTAGGGAGTTCAATGAGCTCTGGGTGAACTTGGAGGAAAGGGCTTCAAAGATGACGAACAAGGAGTGGAGACTTCTTAAGAAGCAGCTTAGGGCCATTGGGCGGATCTCTTTTAAGAAACTTCATCGGCGTCTCCCGGAGATTTGCAAGGAGATTAATGCCTTGAACCTTTCTTTCAACTACGGTACCTTAGATAGGCATTAGATTTTTCCTTTTACCTTTTTGCCTTAGGATCCAAAGTACTAACACACTTTGATGTTAGCAATGAGCTACACACCATTTATCCCTGTCACTACGTTCCAGCCTCTTGCCCCTGAAAAAATCAATGCCTTTGTTGCCAATGGACTTTCAGCAGAATCGGACGAAGATATTGCAGTTGCAACTCGGAATGCAGTCCAGCTGGTGGAGGAGCATATTCCTGAATATGCTCGTACCTTAACAGCCGAAATGGCTCAGCACATGGATGCGAACTTTGCAAACTTAGTGCAACATGTCGGTCATTTGACAACCCAAGTGGCAACTCTTACAACTCTGGTGCAAAACCAGCAGGCCCTTGTTGAATCCTATAAGCAGCAAGTTGATGCCTTGCCGGCGTCAACTGGGGGAGGCTCCCGCCAACCCAAAATTGGTGAACCACCAATTTTCAAGGGCTCTGATGATAAAATTAAGTTGGAAGAGTGGCGTAACCTGATCAGCTTATGGTGCGCCCACGAGGGAATCACGACCGACAAGCAGAAAATCGTTACGGCTCTGTCCCGTCTTCAAGGCCCAGCGCACAAGTATATGGCATCGTATTATGATCGTGTGGGAAGAGGCCAAGACCTTGGAACGTGGGATGCGTTCATGGATGAGCTCGCACAGATCTATGGGCAACGGGACGACAAGGAAGGGGCCAAGAAGGAGATCACAGCCCTCTTCAACAATAAGGACTTGGCTGCCAAGGACTTTATCAAGTATGCGGAAAGGTTCCGTACTCTTGGACGTCTTACTGGGTATGACGACGAGCTTCTCATTGATAAGCTTCGTGAGGTCGTCAGCCGCGACATGCGGATTGCCCTGGTCGGAACTAGAGGAAGTAATGTTCCCAAAAAGTGGACCGAGTTCCTCGACATGTTGCTGGACTTTTATAGGGAGCTTAACCCAGAAAAGACACGCGGCACAGTCTTTAGCAAGAGTGGTTCAGACAACAGTGGGCATACCCCGATGGACATTGACTCGGCTGAAAAGTCAAAGGGCAAGGGCAAAAATGGCAAACAGGTCAATACAACGACCACAGAGAAAAAGCATCGCTTCTGCCACATCTGTAAGAGTAAGACTCATAACACAGATGACTGCTTCCACCTGGTCAAGAATGCCGACAAGAAGACCAGGTACCACAGCCAGTCCAAAGGAAGTGACCAGAAGACTGGAGGGAGCGAAGCAACGTCGTCCAAGCCTGGCAAGGTAAAAAGGACACGTATTATCGAAGTCGAAGTCACGGACAACGAGGACGAACCCCCCAAGGCCTCAGCGTCCATATCCACTGCGAGAATTGAGCAAGAGGACGTTGATGACAAATCAACCTTGACTGAGGGAGATGAACCTCAGTCTCGTCCCGGCTGGTCTGAAAAAGGCAAGGCTCGGGCCTCAACAAGCTCGGATTTTCTCACACGCTACATGTGACTACCTGCGAACATGTAGCAGAGAACAATGAGCCCAACGTCGGTATTGACGCTTTTAGTGTTAATAGTAGTAGCACGGACAATCCTGTATTATCCACTTCTCGCAACAGGAATTCATTCAATTTGCCCGTGACACTTTGGGTTTATGGTAGAAAAGTGCAGGTCGAAGCTCTGGTAGACTCAGGGGCCACGACAACTTTCATCAACAAATCGGTTGTCGAAAAGAATCACCTGGTCACTAATAAGTTGGCAACTCCATACGACGTTTATAATGCTGATGGTACCGCTAATAAAGACGGGAAAATCACTCATGCTATCCGTTCCTACATTGAGATTGGATCTCATAAGTCGACCCACCAGGTACTTGTTGCAGACCTGGGAAACAAAGACATGATCTTAGGGTATACGTATTTACGCAAACACAACCCTGAGATTGACTGGGAACGCGGCGAATGGAGGTTTACCAGGTGCCCTGAGAGCTGTGCCCCAAGAGCTCGTAAAAGAAACCATGTGGCTGGAGAAGAAGCCGACGAGCTTCAGCTACTAAGGGAGGATCCCTTGATCACTCCGCTGGACAAATTAGGAGAGGAGTGCATCGAAAATCCACACATCACCTGGATCTCTACAGGAGACCCAGAGGACCTGGAGATAGCACGGTTGACCGCAGAGATTCTTGCCAAAGATCTCGAGGAGGTTGAGGAAGACGACACTCGTGACTGGAAAACTTTGGTCCCAGACCACCTGCACGAGTTTGGAGATGTCTTCTCGAAGAAGCAGTCAGAGCGAATGCCGGTGCGCAAGCCATATGACCATGGCATTGACCTCCAGGAGGGAGCTCCGCTCCCTCGGCCGGCCAAACTATATCCCATGTCTCTAAAGGAACGAAATTCCTTGGATGAATGGATCAATGAGGAGACCCGAAAAGGGTACATTCGGAAATCCAAAAGCCCTATAGCAGCTCCTGTTTTCTTTGTTAAAAAGAAAGATGGGAGTCTGCGGCTGGTGGTAGATTACCGAAAACTGAATGAAATCACAGTCAAGAATCGCTATCCCATTCCCCGGATCGCAGACTTGGTTGATTCGCTCAGCCAGGCGTCGATCTTTACAAAAATCGACTTGCGATGGGGATATAACAATGTTCGCATCCGAGAGGGTGACGAGTGGAAAACAGCCTTCATCACACACCGAGGGTTGTTTGAAGCAACTGTGATGTACTTCGGTTTTTCCAATGCCCCAGCCACCTTCCAGGCGATGATGAATGATATACTCGGTGATCTCATAAGAGATGGACACGTAATAGTGTACCTTGATGACATTCTAATCTTTACGAATGATATCCGTCAGCATCGAGTCATCACACGGGAGGTTCTAAGAAGGCTGCGAGATAATGATTTATTCGCCAAGCCAGAGAAGTGCCTGTTTGAACAACAAAGCATTGAATATCTTGGCATGATTATCTCGAAAGGGAATATTTTGATGGACCCCAAGAAGGTCTCAGGCGTGACTGATTGGCCACGACCTACCAAGGTCAAGCAAGTCCAAGCCTTTCTTGGCTTTGCAAACTTCTACCGGAGGTTTATCAAGGACTTTGCCAAACACGCCAAGCCG